GGGGAGAGGGCCACGGAGCTGGCGGGCGCGGCGAGGCTTTCGGCGGCAGGTCGCCGCTGGAGTGGATGCAGCTGCCCGCGGCGCCCTGGACAGAGCTGGCGGGAGAGGCGCTTGCCCCTCCGCCCTCGTCTCATCGGGTCACGAAAGGTACACGTGGCCTTGCCCATCCTGGGCCCAGGATCGGGGCCTAGGATCCAGAGCCCAAGGCCCCCCCCCCTCCCCCTCCATGATGATGAAGTTCGCCCCCCCCCCCTCCCCACCCCCTTCCCTTTCCCACACACCGATGGTCCCCCCTCCCCCCCCGATGCTGTTGAGTGGCGCTGCAGTCCCCACCCTCCCCGTGGGAGTGGTGAGGTGGGTGCTGTGGTGCCTCAGGGCGTGGGATGGCTGACTTTGAAAGCATGTTTCAGGGGAAAGATGCAGTAATTGCTACGGCCGCGATCCGCGGCCGTATTTGCTCAAGTGACGCGCTACCCACGATGATTAGTCGAAAGTTCGATTCGTCATATGCGCCCAGATTCATTGAAATTCGAGATGCCTGAACAGTATTTCTCCTTTATTAGCGGAGCTGGTTTCCCTGTCGTGTGGCTGGCTCTAACTATTCAGCCCGCTGTCTGCGTACCATCTGGATTGCCGATACCTGCCACCCTGCGCTTGCTGCTCCCCGTCTTCAATATACATCTAAACTGTTCGAGCAAGGCGATTCTGGATACCGACTAGCGGGGGATTTACTGACCACTATTGTGATTCAGAATTGGTGCGTATACGGCATCAGCCTACGATATACCAGCAATGCTTTGCAGTCGCTCAAGCTTAGGCACAAACCCTTCTATCCTTGTCAGGCGCGCACTACAAGCATACCCAAACAACCATAAGGACACAGGGACAAACATAAGTCCTCAACGCCAGACCCCGACAGGAGCACCTGCATTGAAACAGGCTTTACCTCGCGACACGAGTACCTCGCCATATTTGGGATCATCTGGGTCGGTCTTGGGGCTGTTGTGGGGAAAATGACAAGAGGGATGGGCGACACCTTTACACCTGGGGCCCCAGCGGGACCCCCCAGCTGGTTTCGCGCAATGCTGAGACTGGGTACGCGAGGTCAACGCGTGACCAGGCCGCTGTCTGTCACTGCGGTCTGGGAGGCCTCGCAAGGAGACTTGCGATGAGGGTGCTCGCACGTTGCCAATCATGGTGTTGAGATTGAATGTTTCCGGCCGGACCGATTTGGTCACGTACATCATCATTTTTTCAAAGCAGAAAAGCGAAGGGGAGATCGCATCAGGAATAACCTTCATCGATTGCGAAGGCCTTACGGCCGGTGCCGCCGACAACGACAGCGGCGGCGGTGGCGGCGTCGGCGTTGACGACGACGCTGACGTGGGCCAGAGGGATGCTTCTTGGAGTTTCTGCGGAAGGCTCTCGGGACCTCTGGGGAGGAATTCTGGGGCCTTTTGGGAGCCTCTTGGGGGCCTCTTGGAGTTTCTTGGGGCCTCTTCGGGCTTCCTGGGGACCTCTTGGCGCCTCTTGGAAGCCTCTTGGAGCCTCCTGGGAGCCTCTCGTGGCCGAGGGCTCGAAATGTCTGTTCGGATTCCTCGTCTGGGCACGCTCTTGGACCCGTCTTGGCGACCGTTTGGGCCGTCTTGGAGGCGTTGTGGGGTGTCTTGGGGTCCTCTTGGGCTGTTTGGGGGCCTTCTTGGAGGCCTCTTGAGCCGTCTTGGGGCGATCTTGGGGGTCTCTTGGACCGTCTTGGAGCGGCGGGGAGCGGGAAAGGCGAGAACGCCCACCCAGATTTTAAGATTAGCCGGGCGAAGGACCCAACAATATGCAATTGTTAACACCGTCGCTGTTAGTATCGCCTTCGGTGGATCGTCTTATGGGGTCACGAAGCGCGTGAAGAGCGTGCCGAAATAGGGCGGGGTCGCTATGCGGCGCTACGACTGCGGCCTGATGTAGAGCCTCCTTTATGGGACCACGAAACGTGTGAGGGATGTGCCTAAATGGGGCGCGGACGCCATGCGGGCGTTGCCTTTGTGGCCTTCGGTGAAGCTCCCTATGGGGCCACGAAACGTGCGAGGGGCGAGTGGTGATGATGGCGATGATAACAACGATGCGCAGGAACAAAGCAGGGATGCGAGGACGGAGGATGAGGATCACGAGGAGGAGGAGGAGGAAGAGGCAGAGGAGGTGGAGGAAGAGGAGGAGGCGGAGGAGGGGGAGCTGCGAGTATCGCGATGCAGGTAAGATGAAGGAGGGGGCCAGCAAAAGGACACATCCCAAATAAGAAAGTGAACATAACATGGCGGCGCGCGGGGCTTCGCCACCTTCGGCGTGTCAAGCAGGCGTGCTGCGCAAACAACGTGCATAAACACAATTACGATTCTATTCCGTTGCTTTTGCACCAGGGTTCCACGTAGTTTTCGTCGTGCGTTTTGGGCGGCCTGCCTCAATTTGAAGGCGTGCGGGACGAGTGTTCGGATGCGGTCTATATGCGGGATCCGCCTCGTCCTTGAGGTTGCTGGTGCTCCTGGGCGGCATAGTCGACGGCGCATGAGCACCCTCATCTGCTCCCTTGTCGTCTTCAATGCCATCATCGTCGCCGTCCTCGTCTCCCCTCCTCCGGGTTCAGGGCGTGAAGCCACGGCCCGCGCAGCTACCCCGAGCTCCCTGGAGCAACCTGGCGTCTCCGGAAGCGCCAAAGGACCCAACGGGCGCAGTTTGAGGCGAGAAGGAGGAGCAGGAGGAGCAGGAGAAGGAGCAGGAGGAGGAGGAGGAGGAGGAGGAGGCGGAGGAGAAGGAGGAGGAGGAGGGAAGAGGAGGAGGACCTAGGAGTGAGGAGGAGGAGAGGTGGAGGAGGAGGAGAGGAGGAGGAGGAGGAGGAGGAGGTAGAGGAGGAGGGATTAGGAGGAGGAGTTGAGGAACGAGGAGTGAGTAAGACGATCATGAGGTGGGGGGGGGAGGGCGGTGAGGATGGAGCGGGGAAGAGAAGGAGGGAGGAGGAGGAGGAGGAGGAGGAGGAGGAGGAGGAGAGGCGGAGGGGGAGAGGACTGGGGTATGGGGGCTAGACGGGAGAGACTTTGAGTGGTGATGAGGAGGGAGGATGAGGAGGATGGTGGAGGAGGACTAGGAGGACTAGGGGAGGAAGGCGCAGGAGGAGGAGGAGGAGGGGCAGGGTGGGGGGAGTAAGAAATAGCATGAGGTGGGGTAAGTGTGGGCGTGGGGATGAGGGAAGAGGAGGAAGAGAAAAGATGATGATGATGATGATGATTGATGATGATGATGATGATAATGATGCTGATGCTGATGATGACGATGATGATGATGATTGATGATGATGACGCTGATGATGATGATGTTGATCATGATGATGATGATAACGATGATGATGATGATGATGATGATGATGATGATGATGATGATGATGATGATGATGATGATGATGATGCTGCCGCTGCTGCTTCTGATGCTGATGCTGATGCTGATGCTGCTGATGATGAAGATGATGTTGCTGCTGATGATGATGATGTTGGTAGTGGTGGTGGTGATGATGATGATCATGATGATGACGATGCTGCTGATGATGATGGTGGTGGTGATGATGATGATGGTGGTGGTGGTGCTGATGATGATGATGGTGATGATGCTGCTGATCATGATGATGATGTTGGTGATTATGACGATGACGATGATGATGATGCTGATGATGATGAATCTGATGATGATGCTGATGATGATGATGATGATGATGATGATGATGATCATGATGCTGATGATGATGATGATGGCAATGATGATGATGATGAAGAAGATGCTGATGATGATGATGCTGATGATGGAGATGATGATGATGATGATGATGATGATGATGGTGATGATGCCGATGATGACGACGACGATGATGATGATGCTGTTGCTGATGATGATGCTGATGCTGTTGATGATGATGCTGCTGATGATGATGATACTGATGCTGATGATGCTGCTGACGATGATGATGATGGTGATGGTGATCCTGATGCTGCTGCTGATGATGCTGATGATGATGATGGTGATGATGATGGTGGTGATGATGCTGTTGATAATGCTGATGCAGCTGATGATGATGATGATGATGATGATGGTGGTGGTGGTGGTGATCAAGATGATGAAGATGATGATGATGATCATGATGATGATGATGATGAAGATGATGATGATGATGATGATGATGATGATGATGATGATGATGATGATGATGATGATGATGATGATGATGATGATGATGATGATGATGATGATGATGATGATGATGATGATGCTGCATGAGTGATGCTGATCGCATGTGCGATGACGTCTGAGATATCGATGATGATGATGATGCTGATGATGATGATGATGGTGATGGTGGATGGTGATGGTAGCATGGAGTGATGATGATGAGATGATGATGATAGATCGATGATGATGCTGATGATGATGCTACGATGATGATGATGATGATGATGATGATGATGGATGATGATGAGATGATGAGATGATGATTGATGATGATGTGGACGACGACGACGACGACGACGACCGACGATGAGGAGGGAGGAGGAGGAAGGGAGGATGCATGTGCTGCTGGTGCTGCATGCTGCTGATGCATGATGATGATGATGAGCTGATGATGATGATGATGATGATGATGAGGGGGAGGAAGCGAGGAGGAGGTGGAGGAGGACCTAGGAGGGGGAGGAGGAGGAGGAGGAGGAGGAGGAGGAGGAGGAGGAGGAGGAGGATGAGGAGGTGGGGGAGTAAGAAGATCATGAGGTGGGGCGGGGGGATGAGGGGAAGAGAAAGGTGTCGATGATGCTGCTGATGATAATGATGCTGATGATGATGATTATGATGATGATGCTGATGATGATGATGCTGATGATGCTGCTGCTGATGATGCTGATGATGTTGCTGCTGCTGATGATGATGACGACGACGATCACGATGATGATGACGATGATGATGATGATGATGATGATGATGATGATGATGATGATGATGATGATGCTGTTGATGATGATGATGATGATGATGATGATGATTATTGTGATGATGAGGATGATGTTGATGAGGATGAGGATGATGA